TCTGGCCCTATCAGCATCTTCTCTGGGATGCATGGGGGCTTGTCCTGATCCCAAATCCCAGACTTGTTGCTTGTGAGTTGCCAGCTGGCAAGTAAAGGCATAAACACTGGTCCATAATCCATGGAAAGTCTTTGAGGTGGGACAGAAGAGTGCATCCTTCTACAGCAAAAGCATTGGTGTTGGTTGGTGACAGAGCCCCTTTCCTGCACCGAAACAGCCCAACAGCCTCCATCAGCATGGCATTTCCAACCTGACACTGATGTCCTACCAGAGGGACGCTTCCCAGTGCTCCAAAGGAGGACCCAAGGTGCTCTCCAAGGGAGAAAACTGAGAAATGCCATCAGGCTGCTGGGGGAAGGAGGAACAAGGGGACATGGTGGGACAGGGCAGCCAAGGTGGTTTCCACCATCCCGGCCTCTGATCCTCGTGTGACCTTAAGGAGCTGATGTAAAAGGAGCTGAGCCCATCCTACAGAGAGCCAGAGAAGGATCTCCTCACCATATGGTGTCCTCTTTGCTTGGCATCATCTCTACAAGCAGCTGGCACCTTTCCTATAGCTCGTCCCACACACGGTGACCTGGAGTTACAGCAGCTCAGCAGGGAGAGGAGCTGGGCATGACCAACCCTCTTCTTTGAGGATCTCTGCTGCCCAAACACTTCAGGTGTGCACTGCAGCAAGAGGAGATGGCACCACACCGTGAGGTTGTGCAGAGGAGCTGTGGCTGCCCCATCCCTGGCACTGTTCAAGGCCAGGTTGGACACAGGGGCTTGGAGCAAGCTGCTCTATGGAAGGGGTCCCTGCCCGTGGCAGGGGTTGGAGCTGGAGGAGCTTTAAGGTCCCTTCAACCCAAACCAGCCTGGGTTGTTCTGTGATGTTCTGGGAAAAAGGGGCCTCAGTGTGTCCCCCCCCAGTGCCTCCATCCTCAGCCCAAGAAACTTTGCCTGCAGCATCTCCTGGAGCATCCCATCAGGAGGCAGCATCTGTCCCTGGGGGACCCTGTTCCACATCTCCCTCTTATCTCTACACAGCCCCTGGGGACAATTTGTCTGCCTCCACCTTCAACCATCACTTCTCGCCCTTCTCCTTGGGATGCAGACAGCACTCCAGCAATAATTGACACTTCGCCTCTTTGCATTTCTTCCCAAACCACCAAAGACGTTTTTGCTCCACACCAAACCCCATTTCCTGCCCACCCCGTCTCACTGGGATGTCAGTGAGGCCGGATGGCTGCTCTGCTCCCTCCAGGCTCCTTTCTCCTGGCCTTGGCAGGGCATGCAGGAGGCCTTGGGGAGATGCCCATCCCTGTAGGGAAGAGATGGTGCAAAAACCACCACTGAGGACAATCTAGCAATTATGGTCAGGCTCAAAACCCCACAGACAAAGGAAACAAACCCAGATCGGGTGGTGATGGCGGTGACTATTACCAGGGACGCTTTAGTCACAGCTGTTAATAAAAATAATAGCAGTAATAAAATCACAGCGATGCAGTTGTTCCGATGCTGATGAGAATAATGAGATTATTTATTAACTGGGTGCCATTAGCAGCATTTTCTCATGCTTCTGCCTCCCAGACCCATCCCAAACTCCAGCCCTATCATATCCATGCAAAATGAGGTAGAGGAGAAAGGCTTTTTCTGTATGGCATAACCAAGAAAGAGACACGGAAACAGCCAAGCTCATTGCCCCCCACCCAACACCCTGTGCTGTGAGGCTGAGCACTGGGTGGGATCAAGCACTAGGTGGGATCTTGCATTTCCTCCCTTTAAGCTGGCTTTGCAGCCCTCAGAGCAGCTGAACCCCTTGAGAGCTGCATGGTCAGACCCTGTGGGGTGGGTGAAGGAGGAGCTCAGAGTCAGTTTAAGGCCATTGCCAACCTCCATGTGGGGTTGATGAGGGGCAATGGCACCCATGAGCCCCTGAGGACCACGTTTCACTGCAGGATGCTGCAGCTGCCTCTGCCTTTGGCTTGTTGCTTGAAGAAGGAACAAAAGCCCCAGCTCCAAATACTGCTGTTTTCTATGGATTTTGGGGGTTCAGCTATGGTTCCCAGGGGGATGCACAGACAGGCTTTGGTCTCAGCTGCTGGCTGCTTCTGCAGCGCCACATTTAAAACCTCATGGTGAAAAGTTAAGCAAAGGAACATGCAGCAAGGAGGGATGGCTATGGACCATGGCAGAGAGGTGGATGTGCAGCAAGGAGGGATGGCTATGGACCGTGGCAGAGAGGCGGATGTGCAGCAAGGAGGGATGGCTATGGACTATGGCAGAGAGGTGAATGTGCAGCAAGGAGGGATGGCTATGGACCATGGCAGAGAGGTGGATGTGCAGCAAGGAGGGGCGGCTATGGACCGTGGCAGAGAGGTGGATGTGCAGCAAGGAGGGATGGCTATGGACCATGGCAGAGAGGTGGATGTGCAGCAAGGAGGGATGGCTATGGACCATGGCAGGGAGGTGGATGTGCATCAAGGAGGGATGGCTATGGACCATGGCAGGGAGGTGGATGTGCAGCAAGGAGGGATGGATATGGACCATGGCAGAGAGGTGGATGTGCAGCAAGGAGGGATGGCTATGGACCACAGCAGAGAGGTGGATGTGCAGCAAGGAGGGATGGCTATGGACCATGGCAGGGAGGTGGATGTGCATCAAGGAGGGATGGCTATGGACCATGGCAGAGAGGTGGATGTGCAGCAAGGAGGAGGAATGGATGCGCAGTGAGGTGGGAGCATCCATGTGAGGCAAGGAGGGATGGATGTGCAGTGAGGAGGTGGGAGGGACGCTCACTGGAGAGGAGGGGTGGACAAGCAGCCAGCAGCGTGTGGGGCTGTTGCTCTGGTGTGTGTGTGTGTGTGTATGTGTGTGTGTGTGTGTGTGTGTGTGTGTTGGACACTCTGGACCACGGGAGCTTGCGTGCATCCAGGGACCTGAGGTCTGCACAACCTCTGCAGCTGTCCTGGTAGTGCTGATATCCATCTGCAACAACACACAGTGTTCTGGAGCTGCAGGGGGCCAGGACTGACCAGGCTGGGCCCCCTGCAGCCTTTCCCCATCCCTTCTGCTTTGGCTCTAAGAGAGAACACTGCGTCCTCTGATCCGACCCTGGTTCATGACTAACAGGGTCCCAGTGCTCATTCTGCCCCTTGTGCTCCTGAGCCCCAGCATGAGAGCAGGGGGAGAAGGGGTGGGTGCTGGCTGCAAGCCTTGGGGTGGTGTTTGGGGTGCTCAGCAGCCCTGTCTCTTGTGATGGGTGTCACAGAGCTCTGCAGGGCAGGGAGCACCCGGGGTGGTGGCAGCACATCCACCGGGATCAATAGAAGACCCTAGAAACCCTTGGGAATGAGGAGATGGGACCGCAGGGACTGCAGAGAGGGAAGGAGCAAGGGCAGGCGCTTGGTGCTGTGATTTCAACCTGCTCGATCCTAGGTGGTGGGAATGGGGTGTCACAGCTGCAAGGGAACATCGGCTCTCCCCAGGGACCTGTTAAGGGTGATGCGGGGTGCACAGGCCAGCACACAGCCCCACCGGAGCCTCTGGTACCCCTCTGGCACCCCCATTCCCATGGGCCCCCCTCCTTTCCCTTCGCCTGGCTCGCAGCACGGGTGCTCTCCCACCACCCCTCGCCCTGCCCGTGCCCCAGCGCTCCCTGCCCTGCGCCTTTCTCAGGGTCTCCTGCCCTCGCTCCTCCCTGCAAGGAATAAATCACCCTCCAGCTCTAACCTTGGCTCCCAGAGGAGCTGCCTGCGTTGCCACCTCCTTCCCAGGGACTGGGCTGCCTCCGGGATGCTGGGAATCTGTTCCCAGACCAGAGGGGTTTGTTTGGGAAAGCTGGCAGGGACTGGTGGCTCTGGACCCTCTGGGTTCCGATGTCCCCCAGTCCATAATCCCACCCTGACACCTTGCCCAAAAGATGGGTCTTGAGAAGGGACCCTCAAGGGGGAGTGAGGCTGGATTGGGGCCCTTAGCTTTATTAAAAAGCCCCCAAAGTCTCCATTTTCCCAGCACAGGTAAAGGCTGAGGAGAGCTTTGAGCACTGGGGTGGAGATCCAGGCTTGCCAGACACCTCCCCATGGTCCCCATGGCCAGGTTAACACTGGCAGCACTGCAAAAACCCCAGCAAACAGTCAGAAAATGCCTTTTGTTCAATCCCCTCCGGTGCAAAGCAATAGCACTTGGGCTGCAAATCTCCTTGGCCTCTTGAGAAGAAGCTTTGCTTTGAGGACCAGGGGGGAAAATCAGTCCAGCAGCCTCCACTTCCCGCATGGAGAGCTCTGGAGAGATGAGCCCAGCCGCATTGTGCTCCCCAGTGGCATCAGGGAGGGAGCAGAGCCCAGCCAGAGCATGGCTTCCTCCTCCTTCTCCTCCATCTCTTGGCACCAGCCCATTAAGAAAGAGGGCTTGGTCGATCAGCCCAGCACTTTAGGAAATGAGACAAGCTGTGCCCAGAGCCTTCCCCAGGGCTCCATTAGTACCAGCAGATCCTTCCTCCAGCCCCGTGGGTCCCAGAAGAGGCTTCTGCTGGTGATTTCCTCCCCCAGTGCAGGGGGAATTGTGTGGGACAGGGTGCTGGTAGGGCTGGTGCATGGGGGGAAGAAAGGGGGAATGCTGCTCCAGGAGTGGATGATGGATGGAAGATGGAAGGTGGGCTGTTGGAGCAGCACTGTGACCCCCCCCCCCAGATATGAGGGTTGAACACGCATGCTCCAGCTTCCTAATGCATTTCCTGGCTTGGCATCAACCCCCAGAGCTCCAGGATCATGACTGAGGTCTCTTCCCATCCCTGGGGCTGGTGGGAGGCAGGCTGAGGTTCCCCAGGGCACACGCAGAGAAACCAGTCCATTAACACGTCTGTCAGGCCAAGCTGGTACCGCTTGCCAAGGATGGGAGCGAGCAGCATCGTGGCATCTCAGCACGGCCACCACCACCTCACTGGAGCAGCCTTGGCCCCCAGGCAGAGCGTGCGGCTCCTGTTTGATTCCTTCCTGCTGTTGCTGTCTCCTGCACAGGTATAAAAGCGTGGTGACGCCCCGGCGGGCGGCCGTGGCCATCGCTTGCTGTTGGATCGTCTCCTTTCTGGTGGGACTCACCCCTATGTTCGGCTGGAACAACCTGAACAAGATGCGGAGGACTCAGGAGCTGAACGCCACCCATACGCAGTTTGTCATCAAGTGCCAGTTTGAGACCGTCATCAGCATGGAGTACATGGTGTACTTCAACTTCTTCGTCTGGGTCCTGCCTCCCCTGGTGCTGATGCTGCTCATCTACCTGGAAGTCTTCAACCTCATCCGCAAGCAGCTCAACAAGAAAGTCTCCTCCAGCTCCAACGACCCCCAGAAGTATTATGGGAAGGAGCTGAAGATCGCCAAGTCGTTAGCACTGGTCCTCTTCCTTTTTGCCCTCAGCTGGCTCCCTCTGCACATCCTCAACTGCATCACCTTGTTCTGCCCGTCCTGTGAGACACCGCACATCCTCACCTACATCGCCATCTTCCTCACCCACGGCAACTCAGCCATGAACCCCATCGTCTACGCCTTCAGGATCAAGAAGTTCCGGACAGCCTTCCTGCAGATCTGGAACCAGTACTTCTGCTGCAAGACCAACAAGAACGTCAGCACCACCACCACGGCCGACACCGCCAACTGAAGCTGGGAGAGAGCAGAGATGGGTCCCCCATGGCCAAGCCTGCTCCCTGCTCTCAGGGGAAGGGGTAGTGAGGACCTGGGAGGGCTGCGTTCACCAGCCCTGTGTCCCCCCGCTGCCCAGGGGGTTATTTATTCACTGGTTTGATATCATAGCCTGCACTGTTCCTCGCCTTTCTTTTTTGTTCTCTTTGGTTTTGTTTTTCAGGGTTTGTGTTGTGTTTTTTTTTAACGGTTGCCAAGTATTTAAGGAGAAATTGTACAGACAAAGGCACAGTTTATCTTCATGCAAATAAAGTAAGATGATAAAAACCACCCAGGAGGTCCTCTGCCATTGATGGAGACCTCCGGCTCCCTGGAGCGTGGCAGTGGGTGATACTGGGGCTACTGCATGCTCTGGGTCCCGCATCCATGGGGCAAAAGGGTGCCCTGGTGGGAGTGAAGCTGCTGAGAGCCAGGAGAGCCCAGGACAATGTGATATCTGCAGCTCTGGAGCTGGGAGCTTTCAAGCCCTTTCTTTCCTATCCATAAGCAGGGACAGGTGAGGGAAGAGGTAGGAAAAGGCATCCCATGGCAATGCCAGCACCCACAGGGTGATGAACCCACAATCTCCCTAAAGCAAAGGGTCACTCTCCAACTCTAAACGCTACCAGAGAGGTAGGTAGAGGGGAAAGAAAACCCTTAGGCATAACCCAGAGTATTCTCCAAGAAGAACCCTTTGGTGCCCATGACCCCCAATAGCACTCACAGCCCTGTGAGTAACCCCCTGTGTCCCTTCCTGTGCCTTCTTTCTCCTTTTACTTTGGCTCTGAATCAGTTTCCCCTCTTTAACCCTGCCTATCTTCAGCGCAAGGCAGTAGCAAGCCTCTCCCAGCCCTGTTTGTCTCATCTCTCCCACATTGCTCCCTACCACCCTCCCTATGCTGCCAAACTCCTTTGACCCACACTTTGTGGGTTATAATTCAGCCGCCTCCATGGTCCACGGGAGCAGGGAAGAACCTGCACCCGTGTGGGGGCAAGTAGGAGACAACTACAGCCACAGGGTTGGTGCTGATGCTGCCACAGGGACACGTTGCCACCTCCATGGGCCTGCCGGAGGTTCAGCCATGGGCAGGGGGCATTGAGGAGCTCTGTGGTCCCCCTGTGGATGCTGGCAGCCTCACTGCCGGTCTTTGCTCTGCAGTAGGGTCTCTTCCAGGCTGAAGAGGTGGTGGGAAGAGTTAATCTGAGTTAATTTGAATTCTTCTCTTATCAGCATCCCTTGTTCACCAGCCTCCCATTGGAAACACACTCCCTATGACCCTGACCCTACCCCAGGAGGGTTGTGCCCCTTGGACGTCACCAAGTCACTGCAGCAAGCTCCTGCAGGGGCTGGGAGGGGGTGCAGGGAGTAAAAGGACCTTGAATGGGTGAGATTTATGGGTGGCTTGTTAGCCAGCTCCAGAGAGCGATGCTGTGCACGTGTAGCATGGGCAATGGGGCTGCTGGGTGCCCCCTGGGCCCACTTCTGTTCAGCCTGAAGGGAGCTCCTTCATGTCTGAGAGGAAGAGGAGGGCAGCAAAGAAGAGAGGAGATGAGGGGCTCAGCCTGCCACATTTTGCAAAGGCCTCAATGCATCATATCCAGGCTCCTGTCCCCAGAGTATACTGGGCAAAATGGGAGCGGGGCAGAAGAGCAACGGCAAGGACAGGAGTGCATGGGTCTCATTGTGGTAGAGGTGCCCCGAACGCTGTCCCAGCCTCCTTGAGGTGAAGAACCCCAAATCCTTTATCAGCAGTGTCTGAGGATGCTGCAACCCCAGGGAGGACCCCGTGCCCAATGGCCCTTTGCACAGGAGTAGCTTGGCCCTGCATGAGGGCTGCTGTTTGCTGAGCACAGGTCTGATTCCCCCTGGCATTTCTGCAAGAGGCTGCTTTCCTGGAACTGATGCCTTTGCCTGATCCTTGCTAAGGTGCCCAGAACCCTGACAACTGGGATGCTCATAAATTAAAAGGCAAGTGAATGATTGCTTTCAGGAATAAACATCCAGTGGTTTTTTCCACTCCGTGCTCTCTAGACCTTACCCAGGGAGGGCTCACTAAAAGTGGATGCTGTTACCCACCCTGGTCCCCTTTGGGGTTACAAATGCAAGTCTTTGCCTCATAGAACTATATTAAGAACTAGAAAGGACAGAGTGTGCAGCATGAGACAGTCTTGGAGATGCTGCTTCTCCCCTGTATTAGCAAGCCCACATCTAACACAGCCTGCTCCTAGACCCTGTTCTCCAAGGCTCCCACGTGCCGAGATGCCAGGGATATCAAGGGGGCCAGGACATCCTCATCAGTGTCTATGGCTGGGTGTTAGCATGTCGGCGAAAGACCTGCTCTCGTCCTGTTGGTGGGACCACAACCTCCATCCCCTCTGGTGGCATCATTGCTAAGCCTGACCACCTCCATAAGTGAGCATCCAACTCTCCCCTTGACCCCTTACAGGGGGAAAATTAATCCAACAATGCCCTCTGATGGTGGAAACCGTGTCCGGAGCACACAGTGCTGAGCCCCTGGGAACAGCAATACCCTCTTGGACTTCAGCTTGGGCACGGAGATGACAAAGATGGGGCCAAAGCAGAGGGGCTGTAGGAGGAACCATCTATTTTAGCCATAGGCACTGCCTGGCTCCTGCTCACCAGTGACACCAAGTTGGGGCTGAGGTCAGGTCTGAGGATGCCTGGGCTGGATTTGCACCCACATTTGCTTGCTGGGATCTGGCTGAGGGCAGGATCCATGTCTGGCTCCATGACCAAGCTGATCATGGACCTGGGAGAGCTCGTCTGTCACCCCTCGAGGGAGGCTGTGCTGGAGCAGGAGGTGGACCCCGCATTGACCCCTCTATAACGATGTACTCAATCAAGTTGATGGCTCTGTCTGTGAACAAACAGCATCTGACCCGAGCTGTCTCCGAGCTGTAAGTAACAACTCCTCCTTCTGCACACAAGCGAGCAGCAGCTAACACGTCCATTCCTCCTCCTCTTCCTCCTCCGGATAACACATCACCATGTCCTGCTCCCACCGTCTCACACCATGGGGAGGGGATGCTGGTGGCAGCACATGGCTGGATCATTGAATCGCTGGTGTGGGTAAAGAAATTGTGCTTGATGAAGAGGCATCATCATGACACAGTTTTGATGTTCCTATTTTTTCCCCCCTCCAGCCAGAATCATTTCCCAGCTCCAGAAGGAAACTTTTCCCCATCAAAGCCCCTCTTCCTTGTTGAGTTGCTTTTGGTTTAGAGCTAGACGATCTTCCAACCAATCTGTGATTCATATGTGTTTTATAAAGCTGGTCCTTTCTTTCCCAGCTCAAAACCCATCTCCTCCACCCGTGGTTCAGAGGGATGCTATATGAGCCCATAGCATCCCTAGCAGCACTTTTCCCTCTACCTCCCCTATCCAAGCCAACCCCACACCAAGCAGGACAGAGCGGTGTGGGTTTTCTTATTAGGACCCAAGTCCCTCAGATGGGCTTGTTTTATTGTCACAGCTAAGGACACATTGAGAGAGGACCATGCCATGGCAGGTCCATGCCAGTGCAGGATCCCCCAGAGCACAGCCAGGGATGGGGCAGGCCAGCAGAGGCCACGGCCAGGAGCATCACCATGCCCCATGCTACCGCAGAGCAGCTCCAGCATCCACCTGGGGTAAAGGAACAAGATCCGAGTCCTGTGAAGGCACCGCTGCCAAGAGACCAGTGGTCAGGGGTGAGATGGGAAACCACATCCCAGCCATGGCTCTAATACAAGACAAGCCCAGCCCAGCTCTTCCCTTTAACTCTGCTTTTCCACCCCACAGCCCCACTTCATAGCTGCCCCCAGCCCCGGTACCTGTCCCCATGTGAATCCACCCCTTGGTGCCCCAGCTCCCTGAGCCCTGCCTGCCCTGCTGCCCATGCATCTCCCATGCACACCAGTCTCCACATGCATCTTCATCCTCATGACCGCATTTGCAGCCCTCCCTCCACCTTTCAAAGGAACAAGTTTCACCCAGGCTCTGCTGCATCCCACCCCACCAGCGCATCTACAGCAATGGGATGGAGCTGGAGGCTCCATTAACAGCTGACAAGGGCTAATCCAGGACACTCAATCCCACTCCATCCCCACTGAAGTGATTCACCCTCCCTCCATCCCATAGCCCCAACCCAGACCTACCTTGCTCTTCATCTTGCCCTCCGATCTGTCCTCACTGGGGCACTGCAGGAGAGCACAGGAGGTATAAACTCCATGAATTCCCTTCATTTCACTCCCCTTTTGACATCCAAAAGTGAGCCAGGGCACTACCAACCTACTCATGTGCACACCAACACGCACTTATGAACACACGCTCCAAGCAGTCACACACAGCACTATCATTGCCTGCTCCTGGCCAGTTTGTCCCCAGGATCCCAGTCTGGGTGTCCCCAGCACAGTGCCAAGCTCATCCTCCTGGCCAACCTCACCCTGCTGCCTGCATGGCTGCTCTGACAGACTGCAGCCCTTCCTGCCTGGGAAGTAGGGCAGAGCGTGTCTTGGGGCAAGCACATCCTGGGAAGCCACAGGAGGAGAAATAATAACAATGGCATGTGTTTAAGGACACACCACCACGTGAAGAGCATGTGAAGAGTGGAGGGCATGCATCCTCCTGCATGGTGAGCACACAGGAGAAGGCGTCTGCGGGGACCAAAGCAGGGCACTTCCATGCAAGGGCTGGGCTGGGAACACTGCTGAAGCAGGGAAATGTGAGCTGGAAAGTCTGGGCAGGATCCCGAGGCATAAATCAGAACAACCCAGGTGCCAAGAGCGGGGGGTTCAGCACAGTCCCCGCATGCATGGCTTGCAAATGTCTTGGGACACAAGTGCTGATGGATGCAGTGAGGAGCAAGCGACTGTCCCAGCCTGGTCCTTTGGCTCTGCAGTTTCTGGTTTCTTCCCCAACTTTTGGCCATGCATGGGGGAAGGTGATTTCAAGATGCTTCAAGCCCATAAACCCAAGAAGCCCGAAGCTCCACCTCTACACGGCTTCCCAATGCTCTTAGGCTCCTCCATCACCAGGATCAGCACAAAACAGGGACAAACCACAGCAATGTGAAAGCCAGAAGAGGAAAAGGCAGGCAAGGAGAACTGCTCCTCCATCTCCTCAGCCAATCTTACTTTTCACATCCAGTTTGCAGTCTACTGAGGCTTCCCCCAGGGCGTTTACAGCTTTGCAGGTGTAGATGCCCCCATCGAAGGGGCTGGGCTTGCGGATCTCCAGGGAGCAGACGCCCTGTTCGATCATAGCTATGTATTTGGGGTCTTCCCGTATC